CGCCCTACCGGGCGGACGGACAACGAACATTAACGATTGTAGCTAAATAAAGGCGAATTACTCCTGCTCGGTCCTCCTACTCCTTGTGTTTTATCTCTGATCCTGCTCAGGGAAAGGTGCAGCTGGACCTGCGTGCAGGAACTTCCCCGGGGAAGTGTCTGTGCGCTCACTGCAGCTGCGCTTCTGGAGGCGCGAAGTGAGTTAAATGGCACGAGAACAGCGTGTCCAAAGGCAGCGCTTTGCCCCCCCGCAAAAGGCTCTTCAAATGCGAGGAGGGAGGATGAATCTGATTTTTTTTTAAATATTTTTATTTTTAGAAGGGCATAGTTCATTAAATGACCCGAGGAAGGGAAAAAACACTTCCCAGTGGGACGAGGTTTGTATGCATTTTTGAAGAAACAGCACTGACTGGAGAAAATGCAGAAGAGTAAAGAAAGTACCATTGTGTAACATGTTTGATGGCTCAATTTACTTTGCTCCTTCATCCATGTAGCCCTATATAGCCAGTCTGGCAACTTTGGAAGCACTCGTGAAACCACCCTCTTGCAGAGCCACTTTGCAGCTCCCCGTGTCACAGCCGCCTTTTGGTTGTACCTGGGAGATGAGATGTCTCTACCCCAGGAGCTCTGTGAGAAAGACGCTTCTCGTCCTGGGGAAGCACCCTTATCCATATCCCAAGCCACTCTGCAAACCTGCATCTCCACTTGTAACCTGAGGGGTGATGAGTCTGACTGGAAAAAATGTGATGTACAGGCAGATAGGGGGAAAGCCTTTGCTCCAGCTCATGGGCAGGGCTTTCCAACTTCTGCTGTCATTCTAGTTCTGTAGTCTCTTCTCATTTGTCCCTATCTAGCTGCCTACTGGAAAACCACCAAAGCAGAAACTTAGGTACTTTCAGTTGCAAACCTATCTAATGGCAGCAAGGCACAGGATTAACCAACCTTCATAAAGGTGGGACAGTGCAGTATGCTCGGGACCCATGTTTTGTACTGCAATCTGTGTTTTATGTCACCTGCTGACTCCAAGTTCAGCCTAAACCGTGTGTAACCCAAGGGCCCTATCAATACAATGTGACTTAACCAGTTAGCCTGCCCAGGCTGTTTTGGAATGCTCAGGTAACATGAGGAACATTTTAAAGACTGCTCAGAGCTATAAAAATGTACGTGTCTCAGGATGGCAGTGGCTGGCTGGAACACAGCTTGATTAGAGATATTTCTTTAGCAGGTTATGTAGGGAATAGGAGACTATTTGGCATATATATACTGCACGTATAATGAGCAACAAGCCTATTATGTTAGCCTAACTTGTTTCCTTTTTAGTGATTACATTCAATTCTAATTCAACAGCTAAGAAATCAATGAAAAGTGTCACATTATTTTATTTTTGGAAATATGCTTTCCTTTTTGCACAGGTCCTTCAGAGGGTGCTCCAACTACACATGCAGTCTTGCAATCGTAGCGGAGCCAAAAACATAATAGTATTTGTTTCAAATGCCATATCATAAGAAACTGTAACCCTGCCAGCTGCATTTTCATTTGGCTGCAGCTCATACCCATCATTATTAATGGATGCTTCCTATGGAAGTGGAGGGATTAAAAGCTTTCCTTTGCAGAGGCAGTAGTGTTACTGACTCAACGGTGTGTGCAGCTGCCTGAGTGACAGCAGTGAGGCTCGCGGAGGGCTGAAACCTCTGCCTACCTTGCTGAAGAACTGCATGTTGGTTTTTCGGTGCTGCTCTTTCTGTCTCGAAGGACAGGGGAGACCCTTGAGAAGGGGGGGCAGTGTGCAAGACATGGAGCTGTTTCTCAGAAGAGACAGGGTCCCAAATGCAAATGATGACCACTCAGAGCAATGCATACAAGGTTTTAGTTTTTCACGAGAAAATAGAGGGAATACATACACAGACTCACCTCTGCTAGCACTCGGGTTACAGATGATCCTTAGGTCTATATGCTATGGCTGACGAACTGATTTAGTGGGATGTCAGATCTGGCATTTCCCTTTAACTGCGTGGAAAGCAGTGCTTGACTAAAAGGAAAGTGAGAAGGAGGCAAGGGAAACAGAGAGAACACATTTGAAACAATGCATGTGATTTAAACTGCCCGCTTATAAAAAGGAATTTGAGAGAACAGGGACCTTTTGGGGAGCCGTCTCTGATTCCAGTAGATCCATGCCACCTCTGGCTGGTGGCATTTCTAATCTCACAAGGCCTGTTCTGGAGAATTAATGTAGATGGGCAGCTCCCAGAGCTTGATCTTCTGGTAGCAAGATTAAAGCTGCCACAGCAGGGAGAAAAATCATTGCTAGTGTTAAGGGATCAACTCCAATGTAAAGATTGATCATAGAAATAGAGCATCCTACTTAATCCCAAGTAGCGTGGGCAGAACTGCTGCTGATGGAGAACCTAAACAGGCACCTGCTAAACAGGTACCAGTAAAAGCCTGGAGAATTGTAGCGCCAATAACAAGATCGTGTCTCTCCTTAATGTGTCAGACTTTTGCACCACAGGTCCTGGACTCATTGAGGATTAAATACAAATCTTGTTCTTGCAGATTTTCCTAACAGAACCATTGTCTATCAGATATAGAATTCAGAAAATCTTTTTACCAAGAATCCTTAATCCAAAGTGGCAAGTGGCTGCTTCCAGCTATAGATGTCCTTTAGCTCTGTTGATGACTCCTGCTTTTAGGACTGAAGATGGTGAAGATTTTTTTTTTATTGAAGGCTAGACATGTATTTGGTGCAAACAGGTACTTGTAATGATATCGCCTGACTCCAGAACATCTTGACTTCCAACACCTACCTCTTCCTCCAACACCCAGTGAAATCCATGTTTCTTGGACTTCTGCAGAACAGTAAAGAGAAAATTGTGTATTCCAAATGATCTCTGCACCAAATATTTAACTGCACATAAAGCACATTTTGCTTTGGAAAACTGATGGTTAATGTGATGCCACTCATTTATACAAACCACGCTTCATTTCAGGACCAGCTACTGCTAAGTTCTGAGGCATTTGCAGGGGCTAGAATGGAAGATGGAGAAGGACTGAAGGAATGAAATACCAGAGGATTCGGCAAAATCAGCTTAGGTCTGAGTAGCTACAGGGCTCTAGAGGATCAAGGTAAGCTCTGACACGCTGCTAGGGAAGGCCTGGCAGAAGGAAGCCAGCATATGCATAGGCTAGGCTGGCTAATAACACAGGGGAAATACGCTGCCTGTAATGAGTAATTTGCCTTTTCTGTGGAGTGAATTGTTAACGTTTTAGCACTATCAATCTGAATATACATTCATGGATGCACTAACATAGAGTTCACTGTATCTACTATATATATGTATATATATATATATACACACAAAAAATAGAAGTTATTTATTAAATAGGTATTTGTGGTATACAGAATGGAATTCTGTTTAATCTAGAGCAGAAAGAAAACCCGGATTTCTCTTACACCGGTTTTCATGGCAGCATCAGCAGAATTGCCCCACTTTCTTTCCTTCTATCACAGAAGTCACGTAGCATTTCAGGCTGCTACGGATGCAAGTGCTTGACGCACCCACAAAACAAAATCAGGTATGGAACTGGAAAGCTCCACTTCAGCTTCCCCCCATATGCAACAGGCTGAACAACATTGCATGTTCATACAAAATATAAAAATGTTTGATTTAACTCTGTCAAAATCTCTGAGGTCACATTATCTCTCACTCAGGGAAAAGAAGCATGAGAAAGGTAGACCCTTAGCTTCCTGCTGGGCACTTGGGCTTCTGCACATATGGCCTCTAGGTCCACCTTTAAACATCATCCAATTCTTCAATATTTTGTTATGGCATCAGAGGTTTTTAGGACTTTAAATTGATCTCCAAACTTTAATGCTTTTATAATTGACAATTAGATAAAATTTTGATGTTTTCAACTTACCTGATCCATGTATGTATCGTTTGAACTGCCTCCTTCATAGGATTTACTGTCCAGCTTCAAAATACTCAGTTGCAACCACACACTTCAGCAAGTGAGAAACCAAGTCTGTCTCTGAATAGGCACTGACCACAAGAGTTGTACAGGCTCAACTTGTCACTTTTATAGCAGAGGGATTTTAGAGAGATTTCTTTATGCCAGACAAACTCTCTCTCTATCCTTTTTCTCAAATTTACTTAACAGGCAGAATCTGAAGATCATTCCAAGATGGGAGTGTAAGGCTAGATTTTGAATCAATACAGAGGGAGTTCAGGATGACATAGGGTTTTATGACTAAGATATGCAGAGTAGGTCAACATTTTTCTTCCTCATCTTCTCTGCCCTTACATGCAAATTTCAGACAGTCTTCCAGAAAACTCACCAATCTCTTGCTTCTGTAGAAGTCCTTCATAGATCTTTGCCCCTTCATGCTGGTCTATCATTGTTTACTAGTTTTTGCAGAATTGCATTTTGTGGCTTCCTTTCTCCCTGCATTGTCAATTTGTGTACAGCCCACACAGAACTAATTATGGGCTAAACTAAGTAGAAAACACCCCTCATTCTGCAGGTGAGGCAAAACTCACCCGAAACAGTGCCTCACTTTTTTCTGTTGTTGTTTTTAAATGAGTCAGACATAATGAAAGCATCAACACATCCTTCTGCAGAAAGAAGCAGATTCCCCTGGCCAGTAAAACTGCTGGAGTGATTTTACCATTCACACATTTGCTAAAAGTAGCAGCAAGATTTGCATAAGCTCACAGAGACACATTACTGCAGCAAGTTAAGTTACTGAAGAGATCTTTCACTGATGATTACATAAATCGGCAACAGTATTAATTCTCACATTACTTTGTTTTCATACCTGCTCATTTTAAGCACCTTAAATACTATATAGTAGTAATTCATTGATTTAGTCATCAAAGTGCTAAAGAGCTACCTGAGCTGTTTCAAAGTTGCCTTTGACAAGGATTTCACCATCAAAGTATAGCAAAAGTTAAACCAGTAGGTCTCTGTCAACAGAAAAAAAAACAAAAAACAAAAAACCACACACACACACAGTTTAGTCATGCTAGAGAACAAAGCATGCGATTCAAAGGATTAATCCATCCTGTCAAGAAAATGACCTTTTCACCACCTCAAAAGCAAGACCTTATAATATGCTTAAGCTTGAATATTTATGCATTAGGTATATTCAGGTGCTTTTAACACCTAAGCCTCCTGGGTTTTTGCTGTAGGAAGGAAGCCCTGTGTTCCTGTGTTCACAGTCACTACGAACCTTATTGTTAGTTACGTAACGTGGCAACAAGCAACAGAAAATGAGCAGGTGTCTCAACACAGTGGAATTCCTGCTCGTTCACCTCTACCTGTGCTAGTCGTCCTCTAACCCACTGCAGGGAAATTATTTGCACGTTCCGGCTGAACTGGCCTTCCCAAGAAACAGCAAGTGAGAGACACAGACTGTTCCTTTCCACCACAACCCTGTTGACAAGCTCTCCTGGTGCTGGAGGGCAAACGGCATCTCACACATTGTTAAGTTACACAGGCCTTTCATGAGAGTGTGTTTCTTGCTGATCCCATCCCAAGGCATAGGAAACACTGAACATTTATTTATAGGGGACAGGAGATCAGACATGCTGTAAGGGTTAAAACCCAGATGTGGATGGAGCTGGCCTTTTGTTTTAATGCCTAAGTTTGTATCATCAGTAACAGGTGGCCCAGTGCAGGCTAATCTTCTCTAGACTGCAAAAACATACTATAGGGCAAGACTTCTATCTGGTATTTTGGAACAAGCACCTTATTTGAAGGACACTGGAAAAAAGAAACCGTCACAAGTCCGTCAGTGTTTAAGGAATTTTTATTAAAGCAAGAATTTTATAATCCAAATTACGTTTCTTTTGCTCAGCTATCAATTCTCACTGTCAACTAAAACAGTGGTGATATTCTGAGCTTTTCCACAGTAAAGAATTACAAAATTAAAGAAAGGAATGCTTAAATTTTTGTACTGTGCTGAAAATTCTTTTTCCCTCGGGTTTATAAAACATTAATTTGTATTTTTTATTTTACTATTTTTTTTAAGTTTTAAATCAATAAGTAATCTAGGACTAACACTTGTTTTGCTAGTCCTGGCATTGCTCTGTACATAAGCTTCAAAGTTTCCTTTCCTTTTTTTATTTATTTTATATTTTGCAATGTTTTTCTCAATATTTAATAGTTTTTCCATGTTTAATTTTTTTTTCTTCGGTGAAGCGAAGTTCTAGATTGTAGTCCCGGATCTTTCTGTAAAGAAAAATAATATTTTTAGTTTTCAAAATTAAAGCAGTTCTCTTTTCTGGTATACTTGTTTTAACTGGAAGGTCAATAATATTTTGATCTTTCACAGTACCAATCATACCATGCAAAATTTCCTATCTCAGTTTTTACAGATATAGAAGGTATTTTCCTTTGAAAGACAACTGAGTCTAGGATTCTCTATATGCAGCACTAAGTGTGGCCTTAGACAAGGACTAAGCAGAACAATTTGTTCCTGTAACAAATTAGATTGCAGGTCATCTCTACCCTAAAGCCAGACTACCAAATCTCATACTGAGAAACAAGAGCACTTAACTCTCAGTATGTTCATATCCCAATTATGGGAGCTTTATGGGACACAAGAAGTTATGTTATCGAAGTCTGAGCAGTTTAGGACAAACGATTCAGTTCATCTCCACTGTGAAAATGGCACTAGTGAAAAAAGGTGTGGGGAAAAAGTGGCTCAAATTCTGCCTCCAAAAGGTGGGTTACAGAAATGAAAAGCAAGAAAAAGGGAAAATTTTAAGTGATCATATTTGAAAATCAAGCCTGCCCAATTAATAAGCATTAATCTGAAAAGTTAATATGCATGCAAAACTAACTGTACTGGAGAACAGATGCCTGTGTTATGCCAAATGCTACAGTACTTTTTCCCTTTTCAAACTGAATAGAACAGCCTTTTGCTTCTTTCTCAATTGTAAAATTAAGATATAAATTCCATAAAAGATAATCAAGACAACATTTTAATTGACATTTAAGTTAAATTCAAACAAGTAAAGTCAAAGCGACATACAGTTTAATAAATTACTGTGTACTTTCAGATTTGAGGAAGTAATTAGGCAAGTTATAGTGTAACTAAACTATTTCATATTTCTTTAACAATAAGGCTGAAGTCAAGATCTTTCTCAGGTTAATTCTCCTACAAAATTCTGCTTGAAGAGCAGAATGATGGTGTCTGATAGAACTGCTCATCTTTGCAAGCATGCCCAGAGCAGAAAAAAGCTAATCCCACATTCTATAAATATTCCTGCCAGCATTTTCAAAGTTTAAATTAAACATAGTGTCTTTTATTCAACGAAGTTTGAATCTTAAATTCCTCTGAGGATCTCAAACAGCCTTAGGTAGATACAGTCTTAGCCTCTATTTTTCTTGAAGACTCGCATTTATGAGCTACAGAACTGACTAGAACCAAGCACAAAACTTCTCAACTGCGACAACAATTGCTGCTTTTTGTGGCTGCAAACAATAGAGGGCAATGAAGCATTTTACTTAGAGGCCATAGACTAAGACTGCTCTAATCAACCTATAAAACTGTATTCCACACAACCAGAAAACTTACCTATTAAACACTTGGAACCCCAGTGGGATTATTAACTGCCTTTTGAGCAGCTTCTTTAGCTTGGTGGGCTTGTAGTACGGCTACAGCTTCATCAACCTGGTAAATAAAAAACAAAAGCAAGGGTAAGCTTAATTATTTCTGTTCATTTCGGGAAGCTTAGTTATTTCTGTATATTTAACTTAATGAAGCAGTTTAAATTACACACACGAACAATACTTGCATCGATAAGAACAGAATAATGGTTACAGCCCCAGTTTATGCTAACATAAGTCACTGCTGCCCACTGAAAGAGGATACTCTAACTTTTTGCCCCGGGCTGCTTTGCTTCATTACTGCAACTCCACTCTGCCAGCATAAACACATGCTAAGCCAGCATGGATTTAACCAAGTCTGAAACTAGTATTAGGAAAAATGCACCCACCTTCGAACGAAGAGATTCTGGAGACTCGAGCATGTGAAGGAGTTCGGAGTTGTCAATCTCCAACAACATACCAGTGATCTTGCCCGCCAGAGTAGGGTGCATGTTTTGAATAAGAGGAAATAGACGTTCACCTAGGAGGGAAAAAAGTCACCACACTGACTTGACACATCCCTTACACGTCTTTTCCTAACACATACACCAATACATTTATCCTCTGCTACAAGGCACAAAGAAAAAACTACATACATACCTAACATCTGCTTTTGTTCTTGTGGAGGGGCAGAAGCCAACATGGAAGCAGTCAAGGGTTCCTGGCCTTGCACGTGGACAGCAGGCTGCAAATTAATTTAACATCATTTTGGATAAGTTCTTGTCCCTAACTAGATGCAGCTTCAAATACTCAATCTCCCACAACTCAGCATAAACTGTGTACACCCTTAGATATGCATAAGAAACTCCCAATGAGGTCCCATTTATAAGACAGTGTTCATAAATGCTCAGTGATACTAGAGATGAGTATCAAGTGCTGAACTGTGGAGCAAACAAGGAGAATCCAGGCTGAAGTATGAGGCAACTGGAAAACATCTCCTGCTCCAGGTCAACCTGAAGTGTATCTTAAGGCCTAAGTCTATCTTTGGTGCCATAATCTGGACCCTGAATTCTAGAATAACCAAGAAAACCTTTAACTGCAAGTCTCCTGCCACCTGCCCCCATCCATTTCTCTGCAAACAAAAAAACATGCAGTAAAAGAATGCAGAAGCCCAACACCACGTACCTGCTGCATGGCAACCTGTGGCTGCGTGTTGAGGTGCTGCTGGGGATTGCGGACCCCGGCAGCGTATTTGTACTGTGGAACTGTGCGTACAGCAGGAGTAGCTGCAGTAGCTGCTGCGGCAGGACGTGGACCCATTGTCTGTGTTGATGTATTAGCTGTGAAGATGACAAGTTTGCATGTGAATAATTCAACTTTTATTTAGCATGCACTGTACAGAAATGAAAACACGCAGAACTGAACACCTAATTTAGGTACTGCATTGTAGATTCATATCACAGTAGTACTGTCAATTGTAAGACCGCTGGTCACATCTCAAGCTTCAAATTATGAGGTTTACCAAGAGTTACTTCCAAAACACTTCATTAATTACTTTTCTTACATTTTTTTATATCACAAGTAAAAAAAAAATCACTTTTGGCTGAGTGCTAACTTAATTTGATTTCTTAAGCCTTTTATAACAGTAAGTCATCCTAAAAAAAGTCTTTTCAGGAAGTAGCTAGCTAAAAATGCTATTGCCTAATATGTTCTGGGCAAGTTAAGACTCCATTACAATTAATTCTGGTTCATTCAGCCATGTGCACATATTGCACATGTGATACTTTACTCACTGTCTTCTATGACAATGTATTTTGTAAAACCTCCTCAATATTTGTACACATAACCTATTATTATAATTGCCAGTGTTTAGTAATGGCAGGACCTGTCATACAATGCTATTAAAACACATGCTAAAGAGAGAAATGGTTCATGCATGAGAGAGACCACAGCAGGAGTCTGATTTTCAGCTTTCACTGGAACAGCATTTTGAGCAGCTCTTAGAAGATGATGATAGTTCATCTAGTAAAGAGCCAATGAAGAGGGAAGCAGTTAACACATGATACTGAACTTCTTTAAGAGGCATTCAGAACTTTTCCTCATACTTCCGTAGTTTTGCAGAAATGAAACCTGAGACTCACCAACACGTTGTGTTGACATGACTCGTGGAACTTGTGAAGAAGCTGGTCTCATGGTACTGAATGGTGGTCTGGGTGCTGCTGGGCGGATAGCACCAGGCATGTTTTGGAACGCTGGTTTAGAAAAAAGTGTATAAAGTTACATCATGAAACACTGGATGGTGTGAAGAGTTCTGGTCTAATACCATATAACATGAGCTGGACCCGTGCTGTAATTCAATGAAAATCTATTAAAAAGGAGGTAAATGCTATAGAGTTTCCAGCAAGCTCTAGAAAAAGGTAAAGTGACTTACGATGAGGTCTGGCACCCTGAGCAGTCCAGCGAGGACTTGGTCTGAGCTGAGCAAGTTGACTGGTGGGGTAGTATGCAGCACGGTTCTGAGTCTGTCAAATGCAAACATGGTTCAGAACTGTTAATGGCAAAGGGCCCGGCAAAAGGCAATCACCTTTTCGCTGCAAAAGTGGAATACTGAAATTATGGATATATGTTATTATCTACTGTTAAATCTAAACAAATTGTCAAATTGTACCTGTAGCATAAAGTATTGAGTTACTCATTTCTGTACATACCTGTGGGATAGCTGCCATGAAGTAACCTGAAGGAGGTGCTGGTTGGTAGGGGTTGATTACAGGATTAGGTACTGCTCTTACACTTGCCATTCTCTGCATATACTGGTTGGTAAGATGAGCCTGGCGCTCCTCTTTACGCTGGGCTAGAGCTACATATAATGGTTTAGTAGCCACAATTCTACCATTCATCTCTGTGACAGCTTTGGTGGCTTCCTCTGGTGAAGAAAAGCACACGAAACCAAATCCTTTGCTGCGGCCACCTTCCATCATGACCTGTCAGTGCAAAATTCAGCGTTAACACAAGAGAACATTGTATCTATCCCTATTAACTTGCATGAGGTCTTTTTTTCAAGTTAGCACAAATGAGATCACAAGTTTGTTTTACTGAAATGATTTACAAAATGTAATGTAATTGCTTAAATACAAGTTGCTTAGTGAATGCAGATGAAAATCTCAGTAAAGGAACAATAGCATTGAAAAGATGTGATTTTCTTATATTGATGTCAGCACTTTTCATTCATTTCAAGACAGTATGATTATCATCATTGAAAAATGTACAGAAATCAGGGAAGTAATGACTATACACATGTAACAGCAGTAGCAGTGCTAGGCAAGTGTGTCACATCTCTGCATTTTACTAGTGTTAGCCAAAGAAAAATCTCTCTTCCTTGGGGAAAGTTCCCTGCTCATCTTTGAAGTACATTCCACAAATTTGACTTTACCTTTGCACTAGTGATTGTGCCGAATGGGGAAAATTCTTTTCGAAGACGTTCATCATCAATTCCATCATCAAGATTTTTCACGTAAAGGTTTACACCCTAAAGAAAAAAAAAGAGTCTAGTTATTTTGAAAGCAAATGTTCCACATGAATCTGAAAGTATCATAAAATAAACATTAGTCCTATCAAATTAAAACCAAACCTGGTATCTGGTGATCCTGTCCTGTTTCATTTGTTCAAACTTGCGCTTGAGCTCCGTCTGCCTTTCCACCTTTTTCTGAGCCCGGCCAACATAGATTTGTTTCCCATTAAGTTCTTTTCCATTCATCTCATCTACAGCCTTCATTAAGAAACAAATTTTAACAGTGTTTCAGTGCTTTATCTTTTTTGCTTTCTTTTTTTTTTTTTTAAAAGAAACAACAGAAAATACTTCAAAGTTGCATAAATATTATTAAGAAAAACCGCCTACCACAACATCTAAAATATCAATTGCTAAAATAAAGTATCCCACAATTTCTCTGTTCAGTGTAAAATGGCAATTACTTTCTGAATGTGCTTCTGCCCAGGATAAATAAGAGTCACAAAAAGCACAAAATCTTCTCTCATAGGAAGTTTAAAAAACATTTTAGAAGAAATATCTGAAATCAGAGATTTTACTTGCTCTGTGCTAACTTACAGCTTGCATATATGGCTTTTTTTATATATAACTCTCATTATAAAAACACAGTAGGAAAATACGACCTTTGTGTTTTAGACTGTTTTGAGTTACAACTGCTCAATTGGTTTAAAAAAGAGGTCACCATTTTATTCACACAGTATCATTAGAAAATAGATATTTAATAAAATATTGGAATCTGATACTACAGCATTTGTTCCATTCTGTTGCTTGTAATCTTGCACTGCTGACAAGAGAAATACTTTTTGAAAAGCCAACTCGTGCTATTTTTTTCATTTGTACTGAGTTTTTTCTTCCTGTCCTACTGTCACAGTAAACTGTTAAATAAAAGAAACCAACCATCAAACAATTAAGTTATACAGTTTACTAGCATGCTACAGACATACACAGAAATTAAAAGGACCCTTTCTCCAAAGTTACTCTGCAGAGTAACAGCAGCATCACAGGGTTCTGATTATTTTC